AAAAAAAAGCATATTAAATAGTACCAGTTATATGCTGAGCATAGCTTGTGGTGCATCTTCAGTGCTCAACCATGTCGGATGAAAGCTGTTACCTTAGTTATCACTATGGTCATCGGCATTATGACCTTCCTCCTCATCGTCCCCATCATCGTCACTATTGCCACCACCCCCACCAGCACCACAACCCCACCATCATCCATCGCCACCATCAAAACCATTACCACATCATCATTCCCGACAAAATCACAGTCACCAATCGTCATCATCATCAAGGTCAATGCCATCATCATCGTCACCACCAGCACTACCACCGGCAGCATCTCCAACACTGCCACCTCCACCATCATCTTCATCATCACTTCTACCACCACCACCATCTCATCATCCTTCCCACCATGTCCACCACTACCATCATCATCTTCATCATCATTACCATCATCGTGATGTTCATCTACGTCACCACCCTCATCATTATCATCCCAATTATATAAGCTCTCTGAGGGCAGGGATGTTCATCATTTTGTCTTCTCTGCTGTGTTCCCAGGACCTGGCACGGGGCAGGTGCTCAATACAGTTTATGGGTTGACCCCTCATCACTAGATTTGCTATGACTTTTCATCTTTATTTGACTGAACGTGGCATAGAGGTTTACCCTCATGGGGCATGCTCTGACAGAGGTGCCACTGACCGGTACTCACCGGTGGGGCCAGGGAGGGAGGATGGAGTCCCAGAGGTTCCCAGATTCACTGTGGTCATCCCAGGAGCTGAGGAGAAGCCCACGTCAGTGAAATCAGTAGCACACCTCGTGGCAGAAATGTAGGCAGGAGAGAATATTAATGGGGCTTGCTGCAGGTGGGGCTTGAATTTGGACTCTTTCTGGAGCTGGGGAAGAGGGGAAAGGGAATAACTTGTGCCCTCCCAGCTCCTTCCCTCCTGATGAGGACATGAGGGGGAATGAGGAGAGGGATTAGCTCCCACCTTGCGTGGTGTAGGATCGGGGGCATGGGAACATCAGTTGAATACTCACTGCTGGTGATATGCAGAGAGCTCCTGTGGGTGAAACCTGCAGCAAGAGGGAGGGAGGACAGTGGGTAAGGGTTAAGGTAGACATGGGGGAAGCAAACAGGGGCGAGGGCTACCCTGGTACAATGGAATGAGTTTCATGGGGCAGGAGCTGTTGGAGATTCTCTATCAACACCCTCACATTGAGTTTGGGACTTCAGTCATCAAATATAAACAACATGTCCTGGCCTCAATGGCCGGGCAGGGAGTTTGACCTCAAGCCAGAGAGCAGAGGCCGCCCAGCAAGGAGGAGGAGACTCCAAGCACGTCACAGCTCCTCACCATTGACATAGAGACTGTCCTTGTCCAGGGTGTAGGGACCCAGCTCAGTGATGCCGTGGGTCAGCTTGCTCAGTTCCCAGTACAGCTGCTCTCTGTCCAGCCCATGGCCCGTGGGGTCAGGGTGGTGGGTGCAGGTGGCGTCCACTCCAGTGGCTGCCCCGTCCTTCTCGGGCCTGGGGAGGGCAGGTGAGAGGCATGACAATAGATGGATTACCTGGAGAAGGTGCTGAGATTCCTGGGGACAGAATGGGAAGGGGCCAGAGGCAACAAGAAACCTGGCAGTGGGGTGAGAAGCCCACACTGAGTGCACTGACACCCAACCAGCCTAGTACCGTGAGCAGAGTCATGGTCGCAGGAATTTTTACAAGATCACAACGTGAAAGCTTCTTTCTCACAGCACGAGGCCGGGAAAGCTCAGATTAGAGATGGGTGCAGAGCTGGAAATGGGCGTTAACATAAGTGGAGGAGGCACATTTGTTGTGGGAGAAATCTTGGAGACAGATTTTTACACCTGAAGTAGCAGGAGGTCAGGGGAAAAGTGGGAATTTAGAAGAAAGACCAGGGCAGGGGCCCAATCCTGCATATGAGCTCTGCAGAATCATTCAGTGAGAGGGGAGGTGGTATGATGAAGAGACACTTTACTCCTGGAGCAAGCAGTCCCTGAGCTCCACCTCTGCTGAGGACATCCACAGGGAGGGCCAGAAGGAAGCCGACCAAATCTGTTGGGCTGTGAAACACTTGTGGGACCCTGGTTAGTTATTCTAAGGTCTCACCTGAGCGAGGTCAGTCTGCAGCCGGAGTACAGAGGCCCGACACTAGTGTTCTGGAACAAGGGCTTGAGCTGTGTGGGAGGGGAAGGGAGGTGAATAGCGCAGCTGAGGGTGCAGGGGTGAAGCAGAAATAAAGGGGGCAGGGCTGCCATTAGTAGGCTGGGCTTGCATCTCTGGGGACAGGGGTGAGTTGGGTGGGATCTTCTTTCATGGCCCTGACATAGGTGACGTAGGGAGGAATGGGTGAGTTTGGAGGGACAGGGTGAGGTGGGCATGGTGAGCATCCCTGGGCAGGGCAGGGTGAGGTGGGCGTGGCTGATATCAGTGGGCGGGGCTCTCACCAGACCCTGCAGGACCCTCTCCGTGGTGTTGAACTTCCAGGAGCCAGGGTGACGCATGACCTCCTCATACTGCAGGTTCAGGATGGTGAAGTTGAGGGTGAACGGCGTCAGGTGTGGTTTAGCTGCTGCAGTGGGGTTGGGAAATAAGCACTATGTTCAAAAGTAGAGCACATATATGAATTTGCGGCAGACTTATTTTTAAACATATGCAACAGGATTCAAAGTGAGTGATAAAACAAAAGATTTCCATGCCTACCTTGCCTATAATGATAGAAGATTTTTTTAAAAAGCATGTTAAATAACAGTAGCTAGAAGCTGAGCATAGCTCTTGGTGCATATTCAGTGCTCAATAGCGCCAGATGTTATCGCCACCATCATCATTATCATCAGCATTGCCATCATTGTTATCATCATCATCCTCCTCATTATTGTCAACATCACCAAAACCACCCACCACCACCATCATTATCCCCATCATCACCACCAACACCATCTTCATCAAAGACATCCTCCCATCATTATTGTGGTCATAACCACCACCACGAACATCATCATCACCATGTTAGGCATCACTATCATGGTCACCATCACCACCGTTATTGTCATCATCACCACCAACATCATCATCATCCCCATCATCACCACCACCATCTTCATCATCATCACCATCTTCACATCATCATCCCCATCATAACTACCACCACCATCATCATCATCATCACCAGCATCGCCACCATTACCATAATCATTCCTGTCACCATCAGCACCACCACCACCACCATCATGATCAAAACCATCATCACATAATCTTTATAAGCAAACCACCACCACAATAATCATCATTAGCAGCAGCAGCAGCAGCATCCTCATCATGGTCAAACACCACCATTATGGTCATCATCACCACCACCAACACTACCACTATCATGTCCATTACTATCATCACCATCGTTATCCCCATGATCAGAAAGAGCCACCATCATCATCATCATCATCACAATATCATCACTATCATAACCACCACCACTGTCATTGTCTTCATCATCATCAGAATCATCATTATCATCCTCGCCATCACCATCATTATCACAACCATGGTCCCCATCATTGTCATCATCCTCTTCATCACCACCACCACCATCACCATCATCATTACTATCCCCATCATTAGCACAAGAATATCAGCTCTCTGAGGGCAGAGACTTTTATCTGTTTTGTCTTCCCTGCTGTATTCCCACACCCTGAAACAGAGTCGGTGTTTAGTACAGTTTGTGGGTTGACTCCTCATCCTTAGATTTTCTATGGCTTCCCATCTTTATTGGAGTGAAGGTGGCAGAGATGTTGACCCTCATGGGGCATGCTCTAACACAAGCGCCATTGACTGGTACTTACTCATGGGGCCGGGGAGGGAGGATGGAGCCCTGGAGGTTCCCAGGTTCACTGTGGAAGTCCCAGGAGCTGAAGAGAAGTCCACATCAGTGAAAACAGCAGCACTCTCATGGTAGAAATGGTGGCAGGAGAGAATATTGATGGGGCTTGCTGTGTGTGGGGCTTAAGCTGGCCACTATGTAGCTTGGGAAGAGGGGAAGGGGAATAACTTGTGCCCTCCCAGCTCCTTCTTTCATGATGAGAACATGAGGGGATATAAGGACATGTCAGCTCCTGCCCTGCTTTGTATAGGATCAGGGACATTGGAACATCAGTTGAATACTCACGGCTGGTGATGGGCACAAAACTAGAGGTGAAACCTGCAGCAAGAGGGAGAGAGAATAGTGGGTAAGGGTTAAGGTAGACCTCAGGGAAACAAACAGGGGTGAGGGCTACCCTGGTGCAATAAAAGGAGTTTCATGGAGCAGGGTCTGTTGGAGATTCTCTATCAACATCCTCACAGCAGAGAAGAAGACCCTGAGGATGAACCTGGTCCAAAATAAAGAAGACACTAGGAAGTTCAGACCTCAATCTTCACATATAAACAACATGGCTAAGCCTTCAATGGCCAGGTAGGTAGTTTGACCTCAAGCCAAAGGGTAGAAGCTTCCCAGCAAGGAGAAAGAGAATCCAATCACATCACAGCTCCTCACCGTTGACATAGAGACTGTCCTTGTCCAAGGTGTAGGGACCCAGCTCAGTGATGCCGTGGGTCAACTGGCTCAGCTCCCAGTACAGCTGCTCTCTATCCAGCTCATGGCCTGCGGGGTCAGTGCGGAGGGTACAGATGGCGTCTACTCCAGTGGCTGCCCCATCCTTCTCGGGCCTGGGGAGGGCAGGTGAGAGGAATGACAATACATGGGTTTCCTAGAGGTGCTGAGATTTCTGGGGGCAGTACAGGAAAAGGACAGAGAAACCGAGAAACCTGCTGTTGAGTTGTAAAGCCACTCTTAGATTGCCTGAGTGCACTGGCACCCAACTAGTCTGGGACTGTTAGCCGATTCATGGTTCCCAGAATTTTTATAAAATCACAAGGCAAAACCTGCTTTCTCATGGCATAGTACCAGGAAAGCTCAGCCCTGAGACAGGTGTAGAGCTGGAAATAGATGTTAAAGCAAGTGGAGGAGGCACGTTTGTCTTGGGAGCAATCCTCGGGACAGTATTTGACACCTGAAGGAATGGGAGGTGAGGGAAAAGTGGGAATCCAGAGGGATGATAGGGATAGGGACCCAATCCTGCTGAGTTTCCCTGCAGAATTTCCCCATTGAGAAGGGAGGAGGTGGGCTCGGGAGACACCTTGGTCCTGGTGCCAGTGCTTTCTGAGTTCTATTTCTGCTTACGGCATGCTCAGGGAGGGCAGGAAGGTAGCCGACCAGTTCTTCAGACTTGGGAGCACCTGTGGCTGACCTGATTGGCTATTCTAACGTCTCACCTGAGTAAGGTAAGTCTGCAGGTGGAGTACAGAGTGCTGACGCTGGTGTTCTGGAACAAGGGCCCGAGCTGTGAAGGAGGGAGAGGGAGGTGAGTTTGAGGGTTGAGGGGATATGGGCGGGGCAGAGTGAAGTGGGTGGGGCTCTCACCAGACCCTGAAGGACCCTTTCTGTGGTGTTGAACTTCCAGGAACCTGGGTGAAGCATGTCCTCCTCACACCTCAGGTTCGTGATAGTGAAGTTAAGGGTGAATGGCATAAGGAGAGGTCCAGTGGCTATAGTGGGGGCAAGAAATAAGCACTATGTTAAAAAGTAGAGCACATATAAGACTTTGCTATAGACTTATTTTTAAATATAGGCCACAGGATTTAAAGGGAATGATAAAATAAATGGTTTCCATGCCTCCCTTACCTATTATGATAGAAGTTTTTTTTAAAAAGCATATTAAATAATTGTAGTTAGATGGCGAGTGCAGTTCTTGGTGCATATTCGGTGCTCAATAATGACACATGTTATCTGTTACCTTGTTATCACTATCATCATCGCCATCATTGTCACCATCACCTCATTATTGTCATCATCACTACCACCACTGCACTACCACCTTCATCCCCATCATCCCCACCATTGTCACCATCATTATCAACATATTCATCCTCCTCCTCCTCCTCATTGTCATCTCCATCATGACCACCACCACCACCATCATCACTATCATCACATCATCATCCTCAACATAACCTTCATCACCCTCACCATCATCACCATCATTATCAGTATATTCATCATCCTCCTCTTCATCGTCATCTCCATCATCACCACCACCACTACCATCAACACTATCATCATCCTCATCGTAACCTTCATCACCACCACCGTCACCACCATCACCACCGTCACCATCATCATCACCATGCTCATCATCAGCACGAGAACATCAGCTCATGAGGGCAGAGATTTTTACCTTTTTTGTCTTCCTTACTCTATTCTCAGGTATTCACACAAAAGAGGTGCTCAGTACCATTTGTGGGTTGACTCTTCATCACTAGATTTAATATGACTTTCCATATTTATTTGAGAGAAAGTGGCAGAGATGTTTACCCACATCAGACATGCTCTAACAGAAGTGCCACTGATTGGTACTTACTCATAGGGCTTGGGGGCAAGGAAGGCTTCACAGAGGCTCCCATATCCACGGTGGAAGTCCCAGGAGCTGAGGAAATGGCCTCATCAGTGAAATCAGCAAGCACTCTCATGGCAGAAATGCCAGCAGGAGAGACTATTTATAGGGTATGGGGCTTGTTTTATGTGGGGCTTGAGCTGGGACTCTCTGGGGCTGGAACGCAGTGCAAAGGGAATAGCTTATGAGGACATAAGGGGGTATGAGGAGGGATCAGCTCCTGCCTTATTTGGTGTAGGATGAAGGACATGGGAACATCAGTTGAATACTCACTGCTGGTGATATGCAGAGAGCTCCTGTGGGTGAAACCTGCAGCAAGAGGGAGGGAGGATAGTAGATAAGGGTTAAGGTAGAACTGGAGGAAGCAAATAGGGATGGGCTACCCTGGTGCAATGGAAAGAGATTCATGGAGCAGGGGCTATTGGAGAGTCTATATCAGCACCCTCACATCAGAGAAGAAAGTCCTGAGGGTCACCTTGGTCCAAGATGCAGAAGAAATCAAAAAGTTGAGACCTCAATAATCCCATATAGCCAGCATGTCCTAGCGTCAATGGCCTGGCAGGAAGTGTGACCTCAATCCAGGAAGCAGAGGATGCCCAGCAAGGAGGAAGTGCCACCAGCCACATCAGAGCTCCTCACCATTGACATAGAGACTGTCCCTGTCCAGGGTGTAGGGACCCAGCTCAGTGATGCCATGGGTCAGCTGACTCAGCTCCCAGTACAGCTGCTGTCTTTCCAGCCCGTGGCCTGTGGGGTCAGGGCGGAGGGTGCAGATAGCGTCCACTCCAGTGGCTGTCCGGTCCTTCTCAGGCCTGGGGAGGGCAGGTAAGGGGAATGACAATAAATAAATTGCCTAGATAGAAGTCCTGAGATTTCTTTATGCATGACAGGAAGGGGCCAGAGGAAATGAGAAACCTGGTGGTGAAGTGAGAAGCCCACACTTAGATTGAGTGCACCGACACTGAGCTAGCTTGAGACTGTGAACAGAGTCATGGATAAAAGAATTTTTATAAAATCACAGGTGAATCTTCTTTCTCAGAGCATGAGGCCAGGAAAGCTCATACTTGAGACAGCTGAAGAGCTGGAAATGATTATTAAAGTATGTGGAGGAGGAACATCTGTCTTGCCAGACTTCTTTGGGACACAATGGTAAATCTGAAGAAATGGGAGGTCAGGGAAAAGTGGGAATTCAGAGGGTTGCCTGAGGCTGGGGCCCAATACTGACTCTGCAGAATCTCTCAGCAGAGAGGATGAATGGTAGGACCAGGGATACCTTTGTCCTTAGTAGAGGTGAACTCCACCTCTACTAAGGACATCCACAGGGAGGGCAGGAAGGAAGCCAACCAAATTCCTTGGGCTTGGGAGCACCTGGGCAGCCCTGGTTAGCTATTCTAATGTCTTACCTGAGCAAGGTCAGTCTGCAGCCAGAGTACAGAGGGCCAACACTGCTATTCTGGAACAAGGGCCTGAGCTGTGGGGGAAGGAGAGGGAGGTGAACAGGAGGGCTGAGGAAATCAGTGCAGGGCAGAGTGAGGTGGGTGGGGCTAGAATCCCTTGTGGGAGGTTGCATCTCTGGAGTAGTTGTTGGGGTGGGTGTGGTCTTCTTTTGTGATCCTGATATAGGTCAGTTGGGAATCTGGTGAGGTGGGCAGGATGCGGTGGGAGGGACTCTCACCAGACCCTGCAGGACCCTCTCTGTGGTGTTGAACTTCCAGGAACCAGGGTGATGCATGACGTCCTCATGCTGCAGGTTCAGGATGGTGAAGTTGAGGGTGAACGGCATGAGGAGAGATTCAGTGACTGGTGGGGTTGGGAAATAAGCACTATGTTCAAACGTGGAGGACATAGAAGAGTTTGCAATAGATTTAATTTTAAATATATGCAATAGGATTTAAATAAAGTGATAAAATAATGGGTTTCCATGCCTCCTTTGAGTATAATGATAGAAGTTTTTAAAAATCATATTAAATAAAAGTAGTTAGAAGCTTAGCATAGCTCTTGGTTCATGGTCAGTGCTCAGTAGTGCCAGATGTTGTCTGTTACCTTTGTTATCACCATCATTTTCACCATCACTGTCACCATCATTGTCGCCATCACCATGATTATTGTGATCATCACCAAAACCACCACCACCAGCATCATCATCAAAACCATCATCACATTATTATGATCATAACTACCCTTCCGGCCCTCATCATCATCACCATCAGTCATTGTCATCATCATCACGGTCAACATCACTATCCTTTTTCTCACCACCACCACCATCACCACCATCACCACCATCACCATCATCTCCATCATAACTGCCACTATCTTTATTATCTTCATCATCATCACCATCTTCATCATCATCACCATCACTATTATCTGCATCACGACAATCATTATCATCATCACCATTTTCACATCATCGTTACCATTGTAACCACCACCACCACCACCATCACCACCACCATCATCTCCATCATAACCATGACCATATCCATCACTTTCATCATCATCAACATCTTCATCATCAGCGTCACCATCACTATTATCTACATTACCATCATTATCATCATCATCATCATCACCATTTTCACATCATTACCATCATAACCATCACCACCACCACCATCATCATCACCATCTCCATCACTATTGGCACAAGATTAGCTCTCCAAAGGCAGAGATATTTATCTGTTTTGTCTTCCCTACTGTGTTCTCAGGGCCTGGCACAGAGTAGGTGCTCAATACAGTTTGTTGTTTGACTTCTCATCACTATATTTTCTATGACTTTCCATCTTGACTTGTGTGAAAATTACGGAAATATTTATCCTCACAGTGCATGCTCTGATAGAGGTGCTACTGACTGGTACTCACCTGTGGGTCTGGGAAAGGAGAATGGAGTCCCAGAGCTTTCCACGTTCACTGTCGGTGTCCCAGGTGCTGAGGAGAAACCCTCACTAATGACATAAGCCAACATTCTCATGGCAGAAATGCCAGCAGCAGAGACTATTGACAGTGCTTGCTGTATGAGGGGTTTTAACTTGGATCCTCTCTGGAGCTGGGGCAGAGGGGAAAAGGAATAAAACATGCTCTTCCAGCTCTTTCCCTCCTGAAGAGGGTATAAAGGGTATGAGGGGGTGTGCACACCTGCTCTTGTTGGTGTAGGGCTGGGGGCATGGGTCGTCTGTTGAATACTCACTACTGCTGATGGGCACAGATCTCCGATGGGTGAATTCTGCAGTGAGAGGAAGGGAACATAGTGGGTAAGAGTTAAGAGAGAATTGGGTACCAAATAGGGGTTAGGGCTATCCTGGTGCAATGGGAGAGGTTTTATGGATGATTCCCTATCAGCACCCCCACATCAGAGAGGAAGGTTCTGAGGACGAACTCAGTCCAAGAAGAAGAAGAGGAAACCATGAAGTCCTGATCTTAGCCCTCAAATACAGAACACATGGCCAAGCCAAGCCTTCAATGGCCAATCAAGGAGTGTGACCTCAAGCCAGAGAGCAGAGGCTGCCCAGCAAGGAGGCAGAGACTCCAAGCATATCACAGCTTCTCACCATTGACATAGAGACTATCCTTATCCAGGGTGTAGGGACCCAGCTCCGTGATTCCATGGGTCATCTCACTCAGCTCCCAGTACAGCTGCTCTCTGTCCAGTCTGAAGCCTTCAGGATCAGGGCGGTGGGTGCAGATAGCATCCACTCTGGTGGCTGTCCCATCCTTCTCGGACCTGGGTAAGAATCTCTACATGGTTGGTTCAACTCTCTCTCTCTATGTTTTCGTCCTTTTCCCCCACTGTCAGCCCCTATGGCAGACACTGTGGAAAACCTAGTTAACAAGGAAGCTGCTGTCTTCAGGGATATGCCTACCATAAACAAATAACTAGGATAATGATGCCAGCCCCTAGACTGGACACAGTGGCTCACGCCTGTAATCCCAGTACTTTGGGAGGCTGATGCCGGAGGATCCCTTGAGGTCAGGAGTTTGAGATCAGCCTGGGAAATATAGCAAGACCCTGTCTCTACAAAAAAAAATTTAAATGTTATTCTGGCATGGTGGGGCACACCTGTAGTCCCAGCTACTCAGGAGGCTGATATGGGAGGATCACTTGAGCCCAGGAGTTTGAGGCTGCAGTGAGCTGTGATGACACCACTGCACTCAAGCCTAAGCGACAGAGTGAGACCCTGACTCTAAAAAAATAAAAAATAATGCCAGACCCCTGCATACCCCAGAAGAAGCTTCCTAAAGTATTGGATGTGTGACAGATACACTGAGGGTACTGTTAATGGGGTGGACGATCCTGGGAGATGTCAAATGATGTCACCAAAGCCAAGTCCTGTCACAAGCTCTGATGGATACACCAAGGTTCTTAGTGTCAAACTCTAATGGGTGGTAGTGGCCCAAATACAGGTAACCATGGCATGATGAGTGATATGGTCCTCCAAAGAGCTGATGTTTTCAGATGGTAGCATCAGAAGGCTCATCTCATCTGCTCTAGATCTTGTGGACTAGCAGAGCTAGCAGATTTCTACGGAAACTCAAGGGTGCTAAATGGCTTGGGAGAGATGCTTTTTTGGTGGGTTTGTCTGAAACTATGTCTGGTCCAACATGGGGTCAGAAGCCTTCATGTCTCAGCTCCCATCCCTGGTCAGGGATCCTGCAGGTTAGGGTCCCAGCCACCTGTTGGGCTGTGTTTTTCTTGGGAAGAGTCTCACCTGAGTGAGGCTAGTCTGCAGCCTGAATAGAGGTTTCCCAGACTGCTATTTCTGAGCAAGGGTTTGAGCTGTGAGGAAGAAGAAGGGAGGTGAGAAAGAATCGCTGAGGGAGGGCAGGAGGAGCTGGGGCATTGGAGGGGTGGATCAAGCAGGGTGGGTGGGCGTGGCCGATCAGCCGGCTGAGCAGGGGAGGTGGGCGTGACCAGCATCCACGGGCGGGGCAGGGTGGGGTGGGCGTGGCTGATATCAGTGGGCGAGGTGATGTGGGCGGGGCTCTTACCAGACCCTGCAGGACGCTCTCCGTGGTGCTGAACTTCCAGGAGCCCGGGCGCCCCATGTCCTCCTCATACTGCAGGTTGGTGATGGTGAAGTTGAGGGTGAATGGAACCAGGAAAGGGAACTCTGATGCATCAAGGGAGGAGAAAAGAAGGCCACACCTGAGTCAGATCGGGACTGGGCTCTAAGTCAACCTCTGAGGTAGGAAGGGCTACCTTAGGACCAAAGACCAAAAGCCAGGTGAGGAGTAAAGCAGATGTTCCTAAAGAGCAGCAGTTGGGGATTGTTGTTTAATGGGTATAGAGTTTCAGTTTTGCAAGATGAAAAAGTTCTGGAGATTGGGTTGCACAACAATGTGAATGTATTTAACACCACTGAACGGTACACTTAAAAATGGCTAAGATGGTAAATTTCATGTTATGTGTATATTACCACAATTAAAAATGTTAAAAACCAATAATATACACAAAAGTCAATATCTTTCTCCAGAAAAATGCATGTCCCCCACCTCATGACATAAGGTTAGGGGTTGGATCCTGGAGCTTGGCTGTCTACATTGGAGTAGCTCTGCTACTCTACTAGATGGTTGGTTGGACAAGTTACTTAACATCTCTGTGCCCCAGTTCATCCTCTATAAAACGGTGGTAATGGTAGTAGCTAACTGCTAGGGTTTTGGTGAATATTAAATAAATTAAAGCTCTGGCCAAGGTAGAATAAGCCCATGACATCCTGTCTACATTGATTACCATGAAAACTTCTGGACAAAATACAAAAAAGCAACTACCCAGGATTCTGAAAAGTAAACAAAAGCAGGCAGATTGTGGAGGGGAGTCAAAACTTGGAGAAGTAACTTGTACAAGGAAGAGTTTTACTCTTTTTCTTTCATAGATTTATTCTGAGGATAGGTCCCAGTCATGGAACTGTGTGTGAGAGAATGAAGGCACAGGTAGATAAAAATTCTGATAAAAATCCCATGTAGTAGTCTGCCCTTATCCTCAGCTTTGCTTTCCATAGTCTGTTATGCACATTCAATCATGGCCCAAAAATATTAAATGGAAAACTCCAAAAATAAGTAATTAATAAATTTTAAATTGTTCATTGTTTTGAGTGGCATGATGGAATCTTGCACCACTCTGTTCTGTTCCACCTGGAATGTGAATCATCCCTTTCTCCAGAATATTTACGCTGTATGTGCTACATGTCTGTTGGTCAATTCATAGCCATCTTAGTTATTAGATCAACTTTTGCAGTATCACAGTGCTGTGTTTGAGTAACCCTTATTTTACTTAATAATAGCCCCAATGCGAAAGAGTAGTGATGCTGGCATATTGTTATAATTGCTCTATTTTATTGTTAATTATTGTTGTTAATCTCTTACTGTGCCTAATTTATAAATTAAACTTTATCATAGGTATGTTTGTATAAGGAAAAAAAAACATAGTGTATATCAAGTTTGGTACTATCTGTGGCTCCAGGCATCCACTGGGGGTCTTGGAACATATGCCCTGTGGATAAGGGGGGGACTACTCTATTTATGACCAAATGGCATGAGGAAATGGGGTCCCTGGGAGCCAGCGAGGAGAGCACTGATGATATGCTAAAACAAACAAAAAAAAAACAAGCAAAAAAATTCCTGAGAAGATAATAGGACCCCAAATCTACACAAACATAGTATTCATAATGTTTACTATCCAAAATTACTTGACATACCAAAAAAAAAAAAACCAAAAAACGGGAAAAGTGCGTCCAATCCTCAAGGAAAAGACAAACAACAGATGCAAACCCCAAGGTGATTCAGATGTTGGAATTGCCAGACACAGACTTTAAAGCAGCTATTATAACTATGCTCCCTGAGGTAAAGGTAACCACACTTGACATAAATGTAAGGATAGACATTATCAGGAGAGAAATAGAAACTATGTGTGTTTATATATAAATACATATGTATACACTATGTATGCTACGTATGTGTATATATATGTATACAGTATGTATACTATGTTTACTATATATATGTACTATGTATGCTATATATATATATATATATATATATGTATGAACCAAATGAAAGTTTTAGAACTGAAACATACAGTATCTGAGATAGAAAGAATTCAATGGATGGGCAGAATGGAGCTGACAGAAAAAAGACTTAGTGATTTTGAAGATACATCGATAAAAATTATTAAATCTGAAGGACAGAGAAAAAAAAAGATTGACAAAAATAAAAATGAATAGAGCCTCAGTGTGTTGTGAGACAATATCATTTCACTGGAGGCCCAAAGGGAGAGAAAGATATTAGGGCAGAAAAACCAAGTTGAAGAAATAGTGGCCGAACATTTCCCACATTTCTTAAAAAACATACACTTTCGGAATCAAGAAGCTTAAAAAAACCCCAAACAGGATAAACTCAAAAAAAAAAAAAACCCAGAAAAAAACTATCCTCAAACACATCATCATAGAGGAAAACCAAAGAGAAAGAACAAATATTGAACATATCTGGAGAAAAATGACACCATCCGTTATGCAATGACTTGGTTTGTGCAACACATGTCACATATTTAAAAGCCCACAGGAGCTAGGCATGTAACATAAATGGGTGAATTGATCAGGGTGGAACAGGGAGGGAATGGAGAGTGTGTATGCTTTCTGGAGCATGTAAAAAGTTTGCAGTGTCTTGACTCACAAAACACAGAAGCCCCGAAGGCAGAATTTAAATGACAGGACACCAGTTTCTATTCCATAACTCTAGAATTGCAAGGCAAGGTTAAGGCTTAGGGATGCCCAACCAGCATCATGATGTAAGCATGAAAAAGAACCATGGACGCAACTTTAAAAATAAATCTTAAAGTCTAGGGAGGGACAGATTTCATGGCCTAAGTCAGGCCCCTGTGGCAGGGTCCTGGAGTCTCAGGAGGCCTCAGACTCACATCTGGACAAGATGAGGAGACAGGGTGAGAATCAGACTCGTGACTAAGATCTTTAATGATTTTATGGATGTTCACATAGAATCCACAAATTGTGGGCATATATAGGGATTGCTTCATTCATCCATTGACTCATTGAATCCATAAACATAATGTATTGAGTGCTGGCTAGGCAGTCAGTTTCCAGGTGACAGATACATGAAGAGTGAACAAACCACTCTTTAGCAGTCAATTCTATGAAGGAAATAATCACAATGATATGATAGAAGAAACTCACATGCTGGGTGCATATGTGGGGAAAGTGCTATTTCATATAAGGTGGTCTGGTAATCTGGGAGGGTCTTTTAGAAAGGTGATACTTGAACTGAAGTTTGAGAGATGAGAAGGTACCAACGATAGCTGGTCTCCAGGAATAGCTAGTGTACAGGTCCTGAGATTGGACAGAGGTTAGGTCCTAGAAGAATAGGCAAGTGTCTAGGGTGGCTGAAGCTGAGAGAGAGAGAGAAAGAGAGAGAAAGAGAGAGAGAGAGAGAGAGATAGAGAGAGAGAAAGAACAGGCTGAGGTTGCGTGGTCATCTTGAACAAGACCACACAGTATTGAAATCTCATTGACCCCAGCAAGCAGGTTCCTACCTGTAGCGCTAGGGATGGAGGATGTGAAAACCCCTGGAGAAAATGTAGAAGTCGCTGGAGCTAAGAAAAAAAGAACACGGGAAAAATGATTAGGTCTCATCCTAAAGGGATGGGAAGCAGAAGTTTCTAATTGGAATTTGGGCTTCCATGTTGACTTAGACCAAGACCTGGATGGATTAAGGTTGCCCTGAGGCTGTGGCTGGGCCCTTAGGGAAGGAGCATTGCTGGTTTCTTTCCTGAGGAAATGCACTTTGGGGAGGAAGGGTCATGTGAGCATTGGGGTATCACAGCTTTGAATACTCACTGCTGGTGGTGGGGGTCCAGTACCGATGGTTATAACCTGCAGATAGGGATGAAAGAATAAAGAAGCATTATTATGATAGGTAAGAGATAAAAGAGGGGTAAACAGGTAGACCTAGCAATGGAAACTTACCAAGAAACTTGCTGAGATTTATATTAATAAATAAATAAAAACAGCTACATTTTATTTGATGCCTGCTATGAGCTTTCTCCTTTGATAATAAGGATGAACATGATCACCATTACTATTACTAAAATGAAAATACAATAATCACAGCCTCCCCGATGTATTGGGGATATACTATGTACCAGCAATGCTAAACACATTACAAGGGTAAAAAGACACATTTGTGAATGAAGGTGTGTTCCAGCCTCATCCACACAACCGGTTGTATCCATCCATCCTGGTACAACTGTTCTCTCCATCCATACAGATAATTTAATCGTATTCTAGCTCTCACAGCTTCCCTCTCATTTGCAAAGGGTTATGATAGTATGATTTTTTTTTCTAGCTTAGAAAGTTAGAATATAGTTGCTATTCTTGGTGGTAGCATTGCCGTTAGGGGCCCTGTTGCTAATGGGGCTGTGTAAACAGTTATGATTTGTGGCAT